GCCCCCCCCCCCCCCCCCCGCCGGGATAGGTCTAGAATTTGCGTGGACCGTTAATTTGATATTGATGCTTCTTTTTCAATTTTCTCCTGGACCAGATTAGAAAATGCGAATCCGTCGCAATTTCGCAGTAAACTGAAAAGATATATTTCATTAACGTTCCAGTTTTAGAATTTCGAGGTGATTAGGTGATTTTGGGTGTAACTGTCAATTTCCAAAAAAGTACTGTATACACAAACGGAACCTAGAGTTCTACTCTCCGTAATTTACAGTCAACTCCCTCTTAATGGACAACTCTATAAGACTATAAGACGGACACTTCGCTAACTGACGGACACCTAGAGTTGGTCCCTGCCTTTCTTTACTCCTTATAGTTTACTATCTACTTTATAAGATGGACATTTCTCTAAGACGGACAAGTGCCGGTACCAAAAAGGTGTCCGTCTTAGAGAGAGTTGATTTTATTTGGTTTATTGCCTCGCTCAAAGGCACTTCATTCTTGGCCACTCGCTCGAATTCGCGTACCAGCACTCATGTGGTACGCAATCATATCCAAGTCTCGTTTAAAATGCTTAAAAAATTGATTTCGTTTTTGCCACATAGCTTACCAATCTGCTTGTCCCTTTGACTTTGAAACTGGAAACCTTGACGGATGGACTTTGACCGGCACTGCGTTCAATAATCAACCAACGTACGGTGACAACCCTACAGCTCGGAACAGGGGGCAGCCAGCTAATCAACAAGGGGACTGGTGGATCGGAGGCTCCGAGGACCGTCCCTGCCCTAAAGTAACAGGGGGTTATGTTATAGGGGACGGACCCCAAGGGACTTTAACTTCTCCACCATTTGTTATCATTAGTAGCGGTTCGATCAACTTCTTGATTGGTGGGGGCTGTTCCATCGATGTCGTCAGAGCAGAGTTGATTGTAAATGATCAGGTGAGAGCGCATTACTTGCATTTAACCCAACAGTTACAAAATTTTAGTCGGTAGAAAATGACTAGTATGTCGTCACATTTCCGTATATGACGCCACGATCTCCGCGCGACTGAGAAAGGTCATGGGCTCCTGGAAAGAAAAAATGGCAAACGGACACAGGGATCCCAAAGCACGAACGCGCCTAAATACACAGGGTTCGAAGCCCGTCTTGACTCTCACTACTAAATAATACAGTAGTGGAAATACGCTTGTAGACTTGCCCAATTATATATATTGTTTTTCAGGTAGTCAGAAGAGCCACTGGAAAATGCACTGAGACGATGAGCCGTGAAAGCTGGGACGTACATGAATATGTGGGCCAGCTTGCTCGTTTGCGTTTGGTGGATGCCACCTCAGGAGGCTGGGGTCACATCAACTTTGACGATATGAAAGGAGACATTGACTGTAGCAATTGTTGAGACAACGGATCGGTTAATTGAATTTAATAAAACAAAAACTTGGAAAAGCTTCTTTGAAACATGACTTCACTTCCGTTCACACTAAAATGGTGACCTGGTATGGTCATCCTCTATCATTACCCTACGAATGGAAACAGTTTATTATTTCAAAAGGTCTTGAGTTAGAACAAACGTTAGTAATTGAGAAATTATCACAAATTGTTGGTAGCCGGACCCCTTTAAGTTCAACCAAACATTTTTTTTTATATTTTTGTGTCCTTCAATAATTACGCTTCAACTGCACATTCATATTCATTTCAAATTTTGGGTACAAGTTAACGCTCTTCTAAGGTAACGTGCTTCCTCCTTCCCAAGCGTCTCCCACTGTTAATACACGACGCATGTAGTTTCTTTGCAGTGTCGTGGGAATTGCATCCTTCCCATGACATCTTGCGACCTCTGCTGACTGCGTTGTAGAAGCGGCTGGGTATGAACCAGGGAATCCTCAAGAAAAATAGCTCTAGAGAGAGAGCACGTGTTTACAGTTTTTTGTTATATCTGTTTCGCACTTGCGATTTTATCGACGTGCTATGTCATATTAGCATGAAAAATATCCTTTTTTTGTCGAAGAAAATGAAGCGTGACTTATCCTTAGTGAGCATCCGCACCTGAATTTGGAAATCGGACTCAGCAAATAAAAAGCCGTTGTCTTTACTAAGGCATTCTAAAGAAGAAAGCAATGCATTAATCGTTTATCTCAGTCTCTTCCAACACTATGTGTAACCAGCGGTCGATCAATTCGATAAATCTTCTCGGCGAGGTTGAAGAAGCCACTGTATTGCACCTCATCAGGTGTAACATCATAATGGTAGTGACCCCCTTCTCCATGATCGCTAAAGCAGTGAAAATGCTCAACGCGCAAGTCAAGGCCCTGAAACAAACAAACAAAAAAAGCATTTACACTTTTTATGAATCCGACAATCGAAACTCGTTACTATGGGATCGGGGAGTGGGAGTTTGGTTGGAAGCTAAAAACTCGCTTAACAAACATCCTGCCTTATATGGATTATTTTTATCTTCTCGGTTCAGTTCAAATGCTTCTATATTTTGCCTAAAATCGATCCTTAACATAATAAATTGGACAATGGCGAATATTCCGCCTACACTGTAGTAGTTTCAAGGGAAACTTACGACGTGAATACGGACAAATCAACTTCTTCTAGGCATTAAACCGATTTGTCAGGTATTACATAACTGACGCAAAACGGAAGTAGATGCAATTGTCCGCTATTTAGGCGTGTCTTCGGTGCCACCAAGTGCGCAACTAAAAATGTAAACAATAGGACGTCGGTTTGAATAATCCCTCGGCAACGCTGCTTGTGGAAACTCCACAAGCTACCTTGAACATGTCAGACACGGAGACCTTGGTCTTGTCAGGATTTAGAAGGGGTACGTTTCCCTTACCCCAAACAAAACAGTTGGACGAATGACATGTCATTGTGTCCTGTGACCAATTCGGAGACACCTTCCGAACTGCTCCTACACTACTCTTTAGAAGAGGCAACGGTATTCGAACCAAGTCATACATTACCCGAACGATCTAGCAAACTACTGAGCATGTGCTCACAGACCAACATCTGACCATTTGACTCCTTTACATTGAATCTTAAATGCATTTATACGATCTCCAAGGTAACTTACAACCCTCTCAATAAACTTACCGGGTCGTGACTTTCAAAGACTCCAACGCACACAAGTGGAGCACTCATTTCGTAAAACTTTAACCAGTTGTTGACATCAGCGTCTGTCTTGAGTGGAGTTTCGGAAAATCTTGGCTGTTAATGTGACAAAAGAAAGTACTTGTTCAACCTGTCTTTGTAAGTAAGTTAAGTGCATTAGTGCGATGAAATGAAAACCACAAATAACAACATTGATAATAGATCTGAAAAGAAGAAAGAGATTAATCAGCATAAACATCAATAGCCTGCGAGCAGACTCACTAGTGCGAATTTTCCCTGAATTCGACAAGTGTCCGTAAGCCTCATATAGCTTAATACTATAATGACTTACCATCACGTGAATCTTAGCCTTGCCTTTCTCTATCACGAACACACCCCCCAATCCAACTGGCTCATTTCCATAGTGACGAGCAAGGGTGTGCCGCATGCACGTGACAAAATTCTCATCACCAGTCCTCTTGCTGGCAGTAACCTTCAAAACCTGATGAAACACGTGCAAAAAAACATGGAGATGGATTACAGTCTGCCATAAGTTTTCTTTTCGAGTTGAATCTTAAGTCATGTCTTTGTTTTACTACCTTCTTTGACTAGTAATGATCTTTCAACTTCGCCAACTGTAGCCTGCGAACAAGCAATCAATTTGGGGGAGTCATAAGAGTGAGACTGGGTGGTAAAAGCCCCTCTCGTTGATGTGTTCTTGTGCAGCTCTCGCTTCGCTTGCCACTTGAAATGGAGAGCTTGGTCGCAGGCTACGTTCACTACGGTCTGGTTAGCTCAGTCTGTGAAGTGCTTGTTACGGGAGGCCTTTAACCAATAATCAGCATCTTATGGCCCGCGAGGAAGAAGGATCCGCTTTGCTCAGCAGAGGGCTAGACCTGTGCTTGACCCAAATTAGTCTCCATTGCAGCCGTTTTTGTCTCGTAACGCAACGCTCCTCTTACTGTTGGGGCGGAGTGATGTATGACGAGACTAGGCTGCGAGGGAGGACTAGGCGGTCAGTGTAAAACGCAGACTGCGGACTGCGGACCAGGGGTACAATGCAGACTGTGTGTAAAATGCAGACTGCAGACTAGGAGTAAAACGCAGGTTGGGGTAAAATGCAGACCGAGCATAAGCTGTAGTCGAGGAAGGGTTTAAGGGCAAAACAATCCCGCAAATAAATGTAAACGAATACTTACTTGACATCTCCTTTCACAAATCTATTCCTTCCTCGCTCTGGAACGTCGCCGACGATGCGAAAACATACTTACTTGCTAAAAACAGTTACTGGCCTTTGTAATAATTGTATCTACAGTCTATAGGGAGGTTCACATTAATCAAGTTTAGGTGTGGTTGAACAAATGGACTGTAAAGGATGGTACAGGTTTGTATATTCTC